TGTGACGTATATACTATGTTCATTCCTGGGAAGACGTAGTGATTTATCATCGTTCAAGAGAAATTTGGATAAAGAGGAAGGTATCAATTGTGTGGGTGCGTGTCCTTCAGCTGTGAAAACATTAGCTGAGGCGAGGAGAAACGGGAGGCTAAGTTTAGCGAAGCTTGGAGTGTGCCGTGAGTATGTATGTAGGCACCTACGTGTGCTTGTAGGTGGCTGAGCTTGAACTCTGGGGTTCCGCCTCTCAATGTATAAACGACTAGTGTGTTTATATGTTTTTAATCTTTGTGGATTTTATCAAATTGTGTCACATCTATATTTAAATATGTATGGATTCTGCCTCCATTACTTCACAACAACTGTATGGAGTCTGTCTCCATTACACCACAATCCGTGTATGGAGTCTACCTCCATTAGTCCATAGATCATTCCATTTATTTACTGATCTGCAGTCCGCTCTGATTTAAAGAATCTTTCTAACCTCTCTGTGATTAATTCGGATACTTGGTTTCAATCTGTCCCCTTCTTAGTGTGTACTTGATTTAAAATATTTGTTCCCATCCACTCAGTTACCCTGAGTATTTTCTATATTGATATCATGGTTCCCCTGTTTATTCTCTCTGATGATGCGAGGTTAAATTCTTTTAGTTACAGTTGGTATTTCCTTGTAGCTCATACCTTGAGCAGCCTAGCTTAAATGATTAGCTCAATAGTGTGATATATTTGACATACAAAGTTTTGAATGGGTTCTTGTTCAGGTTTCTAAAGTTAGATCTTATAGTAGCCTTGCATATGTATCTGATTTAACGAGATTTATGTTGGCCTCGTGTGACCTTAAGACTTTGTTGAGTTTCAGGATGGTTTTTCCTTCACTTGGATGCACATGTTCGGCCTTTTGTTAATAAATAAATAAATAAATAAATAAAATAAATAAATGTTTATTTAGGTAAGGTACATACATACAAGAGATTTTACAAAGATTGATGGATTTATAGATAGAGCTAGTACATACAATGTCTAAAGCCACTATTACGCAAAGCGTTTCGGGCAGGAGTCCAACATGGTCAGTATGCTAACGAGCAACTGTTAACGAGCAACTATCATCATTACATTACATTTATTAGATTCAACCACTTGTTAAGCCACTTTTTAGTATTGTATTATGATAAAGTAGCCTAACATCTATTTGTTAGACCATTACATAAGTTTTCCAACTTGTTCCTGCATTTATTTCACAGTCTTTCCCAGTGAGTATATTCCCCGTGAATAGATCATAATACTGACCATGTTGAACTCCGCTAGTAATGTGGCTGTGACGTGGAGGAATGTACTCTGAACACTTCTCCCTTGAAAAAGGGTTAAATATTATTGTTTTTTTGTGTTATCCTCTATTATTTGTTGTCTATGTCAAGCCAATGTTCCAACAGAGCAAGTTAATTGTTGAATAAGCAATTCTAAAACTATTTTTCTTGTTTTGCTATGCTGACGATCCATATACAGCATAGCCTACCAAAACTACTAAATAAACAGAGTATTGAGCAATGCAAAAGGTGAGATATCTGGTACAATTTAAGTTTTAATGCAAACAGATTGGCATTAGTGAGTTTAGGCACCTGAGGAACGAGCTAGTGGTCGCTTGTCCTCGTTCTAATTGACAAGTCACCATTGTGGAAAGTCTATATATGACATAATTGGCCTGGGAACGCTGAACTGTTACAAGCGTTAGTTGGCTGTATATATATGTGCGAGTTTGGGTGAATATTGGCCAATAGGTATTACACAGTTCCATTTACTCTTATATTCTTATGATTTAGAAACTAGAAAGGTGACGGCAGGTGATGTCTATAAACGTGGAGAGTTTCTTGATAAGAATTAAGGTTAACGGTGACAACTTTATTTTTTTAACAATATCAGAAGTATTTTGTCACATGTCTCAATGCTAGTGTGTTCCATGTTAAGCCTTGCATAATTTATAATGTAAATATATCTTTTAGATTAAGCTTATCAGAATAAGCCAATGTAAAGCAATTATAAATGTGCGTTCATAAAAAAACGCACATAAAAATAGCAAGTTTTTTAATTTATACTAAATCAAATTAAGTGTTATACTTACGTGACAATCTGAAAATTTGCAGTCTGAGGAAAGTCAGTCATGCAAGACATGACAGAAAATTCTCAAGCGACGTGAGAAAGAGCTTTGGTCAAGGGACCTTCTCACGGCCTGTCTGGCTCCCGGTCTTGCTGTAGCCTAAGGTAAGCTATCGGGAGAAATCCGCTGTTGTTGTTTTAGATTCAGCTACTTAGAACAAAAGTTCCAAAGTAGCACGGGCTATAGTGAGCCCGTAGCGGACTTACCTGGCACAGGAACGAGGCTGTAACTCAAAAATCCACTAAGCCAGTATGACGATATAGCACTTGGAAGGGATATAAGGATAAAGTGCTGGGATATGTGAGGACGGAGTGAAAGAATGCTACCCCCAACCACTTGGGATCAAACGTCGGTCTTGCAAGAAGCGCCGTCGTCACTCTGACGACCAGATTAAGCTATTGCCCCGTTATGGGAAGGAGGTAAAGCATTTGAGGAAATAGAGCACTAAGGCGATGAGATAACGCACTAGGGGAGAGGAGATAGAGCATTAAGGGAATGAGTTAGAATAGTAGTTATGAGTTACTACTAGTTATGAGTAGTAGTTAGTAGTCACTTGCAGGATGCTGCTTCTGGAAACGTCCCTTATTAAGACTACCCATAGCCCAGCCGAAAGACCTTGGCCTCACACGAGTGGGGTCCACGGTTCGAGTCTCTTATAGCCCAAGTAAATTGAGGTAGTTACTTTGGGCGTGAACCCTTTTTTGGACTCTTGGGACCTTCCGGCCCACTCCTCGCAGTGGCTTGGCGGGTCTAGTTTCTTTGCCTTGCGGCATATTTCATGTGTAACCTTCCGGCTATTTTCCTGATGTGCCTTGCGGCGTTTGAGGGAAATTCGAGTAGACCTCGGATATATCCAGCATTTGATCATTCCCCCAGGATGCGACCCCACAACAGTCGACTAATAACCATGTTCCTAATCACTGCTGGGGTGAACAGAAGCAATGGGTGTAAGAAGACTTGCCCACACGTCTCGAGTGGGGAGGTGATAGAGCAGAAGCAGGGAAGCTAAGCGATTGCGACCTGGAGACATGAACAGTAGTGACAGTGGATTGTAAATCACATTCTAAATGAAACAGAGTTGAGGATAAGCTAAAGAAATTGAAATAAAAATGAGAACAAATAGGAGACAGAGAGCTACTGTCTGCAAGACAGAAAGTACGAACATTATGCAGGTAAGGCAAGCAATTAACAGTGCAGACAGGAGCGTACACGAGTCACGTCAGACTATGAACGAGGAAAATGGTAAATGCAATAAGTAAAAAAAACAGAATGTATTACATATATTTATTTGACTTTAACCACCGCGTGTTTGCAAATTTTGTGTGCCGTGAATTCCAATCAAGCGAGGACGTGTCCAACACAGAAATAACGTAAATTAATTGCAATAACAGTTCCTCACTTCAATAGGATAAGGAAATGCCAAATTTTCCTCGTTCTCTTCTATTTGTCCAGCTGAAAACTTTATTACATGTTCTGTAACATAGCAAAACACCGCTGGATGAGTTTGCACAGTCTTGGGTGATACAGCCTTCCTCATTGTTCCACACCGTTCTCATTCCTGCTCTCTATTATGGAAAAAAATAATTATTGTACATGTACAGTTTGTACAGTCAATACCATTATACCAATGAAATACTAACGGTGATGGTAGGTGTGCTAGGCTACCAGAGGAGAGGTAATATGTGTGGTAAACTAACAGAGCTACGATGATAGGTGTGGAAGACAACCAGAGGTATGATAGATGACCACAGAGGTGTGGTAGACTACGAGACTGCGGTGATAGATGTGGTAGACTACGAGAGGTGCGGTGATAGATGTGGTAGACTACGAGAGGTACAGTGATAGATGTGGTAGACGGTGATAGGTACAGTGATAGATGTGGTAGACTAGGAGAGGTACAGTGATAGATGTGGTAGACTAGGAGAGGTGTGGTGATAGATGTGGTAGACTAGGAGAGGTGCGGTGATAGATGTGGTAGACTACGAGAGCTGCGGTAATAGATTGCGAGAGGCGCGGTGATAGATGTGGTAGGCTACAAGAGGTGCGGTGATAGATGTGGTAAACTACAAGAGGTACAGTGATAGATGTGGTAGACTAGGAGAGGTACAGTGATAGATGTGGTAGACTAGGAGAGGTACAGTGATAGATGTGGTAGACTAGGAGAGGTACAGTGATAGATGTGGCAGACTACAAGCGGTACAGTAATAGATGTGGTAGACTAGGAGAGGTACAGTGATAGATGTGGTAGACTACAAGAGGTACAGTGATAGATGTGGCAGACTACAAGAGGTACAGTAATAGATGTGGTAGACTAGGAGAGGTACAGTAATAGCTGTGGTAGACTAGGAGAGGTGCGGTGATAGATGTGGTAGACTACAAGAGGTACAGTAATAGATGTGGTAGACTACAAGAGGTACAGTAATAGCTGTGGTAGACTAGGAGAGGTACAGTAATAGCTGTGGTAGACTAGGAGAGGTGCGGTGATAGATGTGGTAGACTACAAGAGGTACAGTGATAGATGTGGCAGACTACAAGAGGTACAGTAATAGATGTGGTAGACTACAAGAGGTACAGTAATAGCTGTGGTAGACTAGGAGAGGTACAGTAATAGATGTGGTAGACTAGGAGAGGTGCGGTGATAGATGTGGTAGACTACAAGAGGTACAGTGATAGATGTGGCAGACTACAAGCGGTACAGTAATAGCTGTGGTAGACTAGGAGAGGTACAGTAATAGATGTGGTAGACTACAAGAGGTACAGTAATAGATGTGGTAGACTAGGAGAGGTGCGGTGATAGATGTGGTAGACGGTGATAGGTGTGGAGGGCGAGCGGGCGAGGCACGCACCACGCTTGACAGGCAGTATGGCGGTGGCCGCGGGAGTGTGAGGAAGGGCTGCTGCTCCTCCGCTCTCACTGCTCACACCGCTCTCAAACCTTGTATCAGATCATTCACGGTGTTGCTGCTGCTGCTGCTCCTGCTGAAGGTGGCTCTTATGCTGCAAGCTACTCTATCACACCAAGATCGCACGTTCAGAAAGATGCATCGATCGTACAGGATACTGAAGCTCAAAGCTTAGGTGAAAATAATATATATATACCGAAAAAAAAAGTGTAAAAAAAACCTGTGGCCTGACCGCAAAATATCAAGCTTGATTCTTGCGACAACTGTGTGAGCTTGCAAAAATATATATCTAACACTAGGAAAGATTTTGTAAAAATTCGGTGAATGGACTTGAGGTGATAGTAAAAGGACGTGGGGTGTCAACACTTGTCATGTAAGGATATGACAGTCGGTGGAAAGCTGTCAACCACTGACAAGTAACTTCATGAGTTTTTCCCCGACCTGTTTTTTTCCGTCCATATAGTTTTAAAACCACCACCACCACCACTCCCTGATTATATAATGTGACTCGTGGTACTGGAGTCCCATGTACTGAAGTGACCGTATATAATAAGAAACTTTATATATATAGTGCTCAAAGAGATTGATTGTTGTGGAGCAGTATTATGTACTTAAGACTCATTATAATCTCTGGTACGGTATTAAGTGGGGACCATTTGAACTACTGATACTAAATCTGTGATATTTACTAGGGGAAGTGGCAAGCTGTATGTAACTGGCTGATTAATGCACTTTTTTTAAGTTGAACTGCCACACACTTTCAAAGTCAGCCGTGTGAAGTTTATAAAATTATAATCTATATAAGTGGTTATAGAAAGATAGACATCTGATAAAGCAAACAGACAATTTGCTGTCGAACACTCGCTCTGAAATGCCTTTTGAGAAGCACTGTTCCTTGGCAGTGAAATCCAAACAGTGTGTTGAATGCAAGAAAGACTAACCTCGGGTAAAGTTCCACCCCGGGCACCGCCGGGTCCCACCACCAGGTAGGCGCAGCTCTCTTTAATATTTTATTATATAAAAAATATATTAGAGGACTTGAAATACAATTTTTACAAAGTAGTTATATATATGTTTCTCATACAAACCACTTATAAAAACCGCTTGGTGCCTTCTTTGATAATTACTTATAAAAACCACTAATCCCCTTTATTGTAGAATTCATATTCTAATACTTCGTCCTGGAGAGTGCAAGGTGAGAGTTGAGCTCGATTACGTGTTTGAATTAGAGCAGGTATATATGTGTGTGTGACTATAAACATACTTTGGTACGTCAACATTTATGCTGCTAACAGAAACTGTATGATGGGGGGTTACATTGTGTCAAGAGCTAGTTACGTAATAGTCCAAATCCCCATCTCGCAGGATGGTTAGTTATGCAGTGATCAGTAGGCTGCACTGGCAAACTGTATATGCATTATGAAGATATCCTCAAGGAGCACGGGAGTGGATAAAGTAATTACAAGGCTCCAGGTACCTCATACCGGCATGTCTGAAGGGTCTAATGACCGGACATTTGTCTAGCAGAGACCTCGTTATCAAGTCTGCGGAACCAAATTGTACACTTTCGAGCAGTATGTAGAGAAATTCGTGTGCGCGTTAGACTATTTAAGAGCCTTGTTTTGTTTCTGGTTGAATTCATGGTTTAATTAATCAAGTTAGGTGAACGTTTATTGCCATAATATTAGTCATGTCTTAACAAAAAGTCAGGCTGTCTCGGATTACTGTTTCCGCTGAGTAGGTAGGTTATGTGACGTTTAAGAAAAAGTTTCGTCTCGTAATATATATTTAAGTGTTTATTTGTCACATTAATTTCCAAGCACACGGCTTATCGAAGTCAGATGAAAATTATAATAAATGTTTACTATAAAATAATTTTAGATCTTGAGTAAATGGGAAATTTATTTTCAACAGAAACGCCCAATTATGAAGGCTGTTAGTACATGTCAGGGCTTTCAGCTCGTATACCTCAGCTCATCCATTCAGGCTTTCGAGGGCCCGTTTTATATGCACAAGTAAATGTCATTGTAATTAATTGCTTGTAATTTCTATTAGATCATACTTGAGAAAAGTCTTGTACAACAAGACCGCAATATCAATATATATATAACATATATTTATAAAGAATCTCTTATCACATAAAAATGTACCCAACTTTTTTTTTTTTAGTACGATTATACTAACACGTCTATAAACAGACGTGGCTATTTCGCGATCTGCATGTAAAGTACCTTTCTTGACTAAGGTACCATGGAGTTTTATTAATGTGGCTCTAAAGTGTTGGCTTACGTGGCACAGATCCATGGTGTAGATATTGAACTGCAGTTAAGTTGAACTCTAATACATTTTTAGAAACATTAGCAATACCTTTTTAAAGATGTATTCAGGGGGCAGAATGGCATGCCTATCGATAACTTTATTTAATTTTTGCAGAGAGTTAAGTTGATTAAACGTAATTTTAGTACATGACCTACAGCGTCTACGACCTTGATTTACAGTGTAACTTATAAGATAAGTTAAACAGAGCACAAAAACATCAACCACGATGTAGAGAAACTCTGCTTCGTACTCTTTTTTTTTTTTTTACATAGTTTAAAGATGTTAAAAGTAAACAGTAGTGATGGGAACATATATTGGTTAACTGCAATAGCATTATCGAGAGACGGTAACTGTAAAGGTTCGCCTCAAGCCGCGGTTAACTGACATAGCGGTTCAGTAATGTTAGCCAAACCATAAATGACAGTAACTGCCGCCGCGAGTTCTAGTGCCCAGTTTAGTTAGCAATTGTAAATGGGTTCATGTTGCTTTATTTAGTGAAGTTATGGATGGCCCATTAAGTTTCAAAAACAAAATAAAGATCATAGCGTTTTCCCCAGATAGCAATTAGACTATTGTAGTTCATTACAGTGAAAAAGTTTAACATTTGTATCTTGTAAGATTAGATTTAACGTCGGTTAGTTTAATAATTACTCCCAAGTAAATGCTAAAACGAAAAAGCATTCAGAGTCAGCTTACAACCGTTATTGGACCAAGACTTTGATTCTCGAACAGTACAAGACGTTTGTTGTTGATTGAGGGACGACTGTGATCGAGGGATCAGATGCGTCCGGGCAAGACGTTTGGGCAAGTATCTGTACGCGTATATAATGTGTGTGTGTTCACCTACAGTAAATATATATTTAAAAGTAGGTAAACTGATAATGGTTGCATTCTGGAGGAGGTCAGTCATTGGCCAAGGAGGACCTCGACAAGCCTAACAGGCTTTTATGTCTTCGACAACGGGAATTATTTCCTCCAGTCGGAACTTACAAGGCAACGATGTGCGTGTTTGTACACAATACACACGTTGCCCTGGGGCCAGATTCACGGAGCAGTTACGCTAGTACTTATGAACATGTACATCTTTTCTCAATCTTTGGCGACTTTGTTTACAATGATTAAACAGTTAAGGAGCTTCGAGGCACCAGGAGGATGTTTATAACAATAATAACAGTTGATTGGCAAGTTTTCATGCCTGTAAACTGTTTATTAAATGTAACCAAAGCCGTCAAAGATTGAGGAAAGATGTACACGTTCGTAAGTACTTACGTAACTGCTTCGTGAATCTGGCCCCCCCCCCAGTCCTCTTAACTAAATAGATCGCGTTTTATACGTTATGGTAACCATCGTTACAAATGCAGCGTACAATGAAAAGCAACAGCTCACAAATATCGCTACTCTTAACAAAAGTTCCAAAGTAGCACGGGTTATGGTGAGCCCGTTGTGAACTTACCTAGCACAGGAGCGGGGCTGTAACGTTGGGTTAGGAGATTGGATTTTTATAGGAGTGGCAAATAGAGAAAACGGGCTGGCGTGCGAGTGATCACGGAGCCTTGAAGGTATGGCATACCTGGCCTGCATGGTGTACCCGTTTATCTCCTGTTGGCACAACTACTAACTAATGTGTCGAAGGTTGAACACTGGCAGTTGAGTGTCAAAGTCTGGCAATCCCATTTATTACTGTACACGGCTTTAGGCATTCCCTGACCATTAATGCTCGCTTCAGTTACTATTTAATCATGCAGTAAGTTTTCCCCCACAATTGAAGTTTAATTTTAAATTAGAGATAGTTAAAAGCTTCTGCTAGTTTGTTTCTAATATAATAAAATGTTTGGAATAGAAAATAACACAACTTTGGGTACTTGTATTAAAAATAACAATCATATGATTGTATTAATAATAATAATAATAACAAGAATATCGGATAGATGAAATATGACTTTAAATTATAGTGCACCTTAGTTTCCGGCTTGCACAATAAAATAGTGCTAAAAGGAGTTTCGGAACATTTCTGCGAGGCATTATGGTGGCTCCATTCTTACCTTGAACGTCTGCTGAGGACGCTGCCAAGGCGAGCAGGGTCGTTCACTGAGCTAGCCGTACGGTACCCAGGTTCACTTGGAATGTAATCCAGGGTCTTCGCGACCTGGCGAATGTTTTGATGCTTGCTCAGGTTAGCTTAGTTCATTTTGTATGCACCCATAACAATCCTATGGGTGGTAGTGGAAAATGTAACAGAGGTACATATAATGACCTCAGGAACTGAACCCCAAAATTAATTTGGCCAAGAAAGTTAGTCTTGAAAAGCTAGTTACAGTTTATACTGTATCGTGAATGTGTTCAAAAATTGGACCACAACAGTCTCTAAGGCTGCTTTAAGTAATTATAGAATGGTATATAAAACCTAGGCCATATATATATTGTGTATTTATAGACGTGTTTACATGCGGGGTGCTGGCGGTTATTAGGACCTGTTAGTTTGGAGCCTCAGGTGTTCGCGGTGAAAAATTGCAGAGTTCACTTACTGAATACAGATAATTGTCATTAATCAAAAAATCCAACATGGCATACTTGGATAAATAGTCGCCAACTCCGAGATAGGCGAATTCATTGCGATGTTTAAACACTATTTTAGGAGAATAGAATTTGTACACAAATTTGCGTTTCATCACGCGTTTGCCGCTGGTAAACTGTAAATAAGTTGAATGTATCACATACGTGGTACACAGAATCTAGGTACAATTTAGAAGACCCGATTATGTTTATTAGTAACCTGGGGTACATTTGCATTTATGTCGCAAACACTCGATTGTATGAAAGGTTAGGCATTCTCACAATCGACTTGAGAATGGTCCAGGACGGACCGATACGTCGTCGTCCCTTCACCTTCTAGTGTGTGATCTGGTCAACATGAAGGGTTAGTTTGTGTTAAAGAACTAGTGATGCTGAAGAATTCCCATCTCGGTCACCTTGATAACGGGACGAAGCCTACGGGCGAGCGTACTCCTCGCACGCTGGTCGACCAGGTGTGGGAAGTGGCCCCGTAATGATTACCGGTGCTGGATCCTCCCAGAGGTATTTGTTTTTATTTTCCTCGTGGCTCAAATAAGGGATAATCTGTTTTGCATGTGTGACTTAACGTATCGTTGTTACTTATTTGTTTCTCCCATCGATGTTATGTGGCTAGGCTAAATGGTGCTAGCACAGTCTCACGATTTGACAAGTTTTCAAACGATATGCTTTTGCTGTTATATAAGCTTTTGAAACTCTCTGACCCACCTCATCCTTCGAGGCTAATATTACTCCAGTATTGCGTACACGTAGTTGTATTTGCACCAAATTAATTCAATACGTTTATCAAGTAATTTAAACAGTGACAATGGAGTGGTCTAATAAGAGTTGACTCCGTTCTCGATACACAATCGGAGTTCTCAGATTCGATTCCGGGACGAGACAGAAATGTCTTTGCTCCTCTAGCAGTAAATAGGTACCTAGGAGTTTGACAACTGTTACGGGTAATTAGTCATTCGAACTCTACAACCTAATATATATATATATATATATATATATATATATATATATATATATATATATATATATAATATATATATATATATATATATATATATATATATGTATATATATATATATATATATGTATATATAT